CCTTTGACAATTTTAAATTCAAACGAGCCAGAAAGTGTAAAACATTTCTTGCAAGTGAGGTAAAAACACCCGAGCGGCTGGAGCTGAGGCCCGCCCTGGTCTGAGGCTTCACTAAAATGGCCACTTTGGGAGAGCTTCCAAGTGGGGGGGGTCTTGGAAGAAAACAAATGTTTAATTAATCAAAGTCCATAAGTATCCAGAGCTGCCCAGTTTTGCCAACTTTAAATGGTACTTCTTACTCTAAGATAAAGCCAATAAGCAGCATTTCTGCCTGGCAGGGATTGAATAAAAATGTCAAGGGCTCAGACTTGTGAATTTTGGCATCACTTTCTTTGCCTCCCTTAGGAAATTTCACGGAAAACAAAAGGTTCCAACCCCTGCTCAGTTCTCAGGGTTTGGAGGGAAGTGCTCGCCTGGGGGCTTTACTGCCTGCAGGATGAAAGTTTGGCTCCCTCCCTAAGCCCACCATCCCCCTCCCCACCTTCCTCACTCTCAACACAGTAGCCGGACCTCGTGGGGGAGAAGTGGAGGGAAGGGAACTGGCAGATGAGGCCAGTTATCTGTTCAGCTGCCCTCTGGCCCTGCTGGCCAGCACTGCTGAGAGGTAGAGACCCTTTCTCCTTAGGCCTTGGGTGTTCTCTTGGTGATTGCCATTGATTTTTGTAAACAAGTGAGTGAAACAGGAAATAATATTACATCTTTCTTAGCACTTACAGCAAGGTGTTCAGTGCTGCATCATCTTTGCCTAGTGATGGCATTTGTCAGACTGTTCTCAGTCCTGGCGTTTTGTCTCAAAATAGCCACACCCCTCTCTGTGTGAGCAGGAATGAGGTTTAGCTGTGGATGAGGACATTGGAATAAAATGGAAGACTTTCAGATGTTAGCTTTAAAGGCTGAAAGGTTAAGTCACAAGTTTGGTTCCTACCAAAGGAGAATTTTTAGAAACCCGCATGTCAGACAGACCTTTGAATCTTGGAGGAATGAGCCTCAGATCAGTTTTCTGCTGGGTGTGTATGGTTTAGGGCCGTCAGATGTTGGGCATCTTCAGGTCTCTGTGGCATGTGGCTCACTGGGGCCGTAGGTTCCGGCCCCACACCAGGAGGGCTGAGTCTGGATGTGCTCGTTCATACCTGTGAGAGGCCGCCACTGAGATGTCTGTCCTCCGACAGGAGTCCCCCCAGCCTCTCTGTTCAGGGTAAGAGTGACCTGAGTGCTGCCCCTGTGTTTCTCCTTCATGTGGGAATCCTGTTGGGATAGAGGATTATTTAGATAGGTCCTGAATTGTATTTTTTGTCTTCTGCCGTAGTCTTGTGTCTCTGATAGACAGTCGGGGAAGTCCTGCTCTGGCCCGCGGCACAGCACCTGGGAGGAGCCTGCATGGTTCGGCCCTGGTGGCTCTCCGGGCAGGCATCCTCTTCCTCCCGTCCTGAGACTGCCTGCTTAGTTGAAGATTTTTTCAAACTGAGGACGTAGCTGCCAGGGACCCTCCAGAGACCTTGCAGCGCAGCTCGCTGGGGGCTGAGTGGTAGCACCTGTGGTCGGGACTCCTTTCTCTCTTCCTATACCCAGATGGCCTGTCAGGAGCTAGGCAGTGGCAGGTGGAGAGGGACTGGATGGTGGGCTGTGGAGCACAGTGCTTATAGAGCTGCTTCTGCATCCTCCCTTTTTAATCAAAGTCTCACCCCAAATTGCTCTTCAGCGCCAGCAAGCAGAGAAACGCTCACACAAGTTCTTGGTCATTTTGCGCAGATTTACTGAAAACAACTCCACAGTCTTAACAGATCTCTGTGGCTTCCTCCTAGGCCAGTATTTCATGGAAAATCAGTGATCCAGGGCTCCCAGGAGCGGGGGCAGCAGTCATGTGACATGGCAGGAGAAAGAGCTCAGGTTAAACCATATTTAGAATTATTTTCAAAAACTTCTGCTTTAGCTGTTTTCCTCTCTTTTAGGGGGTCAGCATCCTTTCAGTCATGTTATCCCCCTAAAGCACTAGATGTATAGAGCTATTGTACATGGAAGTATGTTGAAATTGTTTTTGAAACTACATGATGCTGAACTATAGGGTCATCAGGAGGGTGTAGATATGAATTGTATGTACATGAATGGGTGAATGAGTCTGATGATGATATATAACTTTAAAATCAGGAAGAGAAGAACTGCATGATATCCTTGATACCAAAACCCATGTCACAGCTGAGCTGATCAGTTCAGTGTCCTTTGTGCTTTCTTTCCTTCTGGACACTGCCTTGGCTGACCCTGTCTGGAAAGGCCCCACCTGACTTCTAATAAACGGCGTGAGGAAGCGTTGAGGCTGGCCTAGCCAGGATGGTGGCTGTAAGTGCCCTTGTGATTTAAAACTGTGTTCATCACTTCCCCAGCAGCCTGAACTCACCTCTCCCCACACCCAGCTTGGTCTCCAGAATTCTGTCAGAGTAATTGAATGTTCATGACACTTGAGTGGGTTCTGGAAACAGATCTGTGAGTACCAAGAAAAGAGGATAAAGACTCACCCCCTCCCCCCGAGTCATCCTGCGATGCTCACTTCCACCCAGCCCTCCCCAGCTACTGACACTGAAATGCATGTAGCCAGTTGGCTGCTGTCAGTAGATAATACCTCCTGAGCATCTGGGACGAGTTCCAGCACGTAACTTCCTCTTGGTGAGTGACCCTGACAGGAGAGGGAATTGAGCTTAACTTATGCCATCTTATAACCTCAGTGCAGCAGCTTGGGAAGTTAGCCTTCCAAAATTTGCCTGAGGCTTTTCTCCAGTGAATTACAAAATTTACCTGTTTAGTGGTTTTCACCTTTCAAAAATCAAAGCCAAGAGTCATTGTGTGTCTGACAGAGGTACATAGAACTTGGGTAGAGAAATAAGGTGTTTCTGTCTGGATGGAGAATCCTTGGGTGAGTGGAGAGGATATCCAGGAGTTTCTGTGGTTGATATGCCCTGTTTCCTTTTCAAGACAGTATGGGGCTCACAGATGCACCCACGGAGTTGTGAGGGAGCATAGTGAGGCTCTGAGACTGGAGCCTGTCCCCTCCACCCAAGTCTGCCTTTGACTAATGAGGTGTTAGGCCGAACCAGGGCTGAGTTCATTTCTGGGGTAACCCATTCATCAGGAGAGGAGGCACCCTGGGGCCCTCTCCTGCATCATCCCAATATCTTGAAGAAAGGGAAGGGCAGCAGGGGTCCTTGCACCCCTTATTGTAGATGCTGAAGGTATTATGTCCAGACTTGGTGACAAAAATGTCTCCACACCCTTCCTGCCGCCATACAGCTGGTGCCCCCCACCCCAAGTCCTGACCTGAGCAGGTTCTCCCCAACCAGATGGGCTCTGCTCCAGAAAGATGATTATGCTTATTAGGTCGAGGATGCATATTGAGGCCATCCACGCTTCTGCTGTGAGATCCTTCAGGAGAAAGACAACTGTATCCAATATCTTCAAGTAATGAACTTACCAGTAAATACAACACTCAACCTCATTAATCTTAACTTTTCTTTTGGGCCAAGTGAGAGCTCAGCTTCTCAGGAGACAAAAATTTCATCTCTGTTCTTTTCCTTAAACCAAATCCCAATTTAGAATCAAACGTATTGCCCTGCTCTCCCTGGGAAGCAGTTAATAATGTATTTTCTCGCACAATGGATAGTCCAGGCTCAGCCTGGTCGCTCAGGCCCCTGGGCCACATGCACGTGCCATACTCCACATGAGCTCAAGGCATCAGAGCAGGTCTGTGTCAGCTGAGGAATATTCTCTGGGTGAAACTGGTTTTAAACATTGAGGCTTTTGCAGTTGTCCATCATGGCCAGTCTTTGCTTCAACTTCTGCTGTTCTTCTGAAATCAGTGCCTTCACCTCTGTTGTCTGAAAATAATTGAGGACAGGGAGATGGATGATCACAGTTTGCAAGGGGTGGCTGCCCATTCACTCTGGCTGCTGCGGTCTCCCATTTGCTTGAAGAGTGAGGACAGCATTGGCCTGGTGGGGCTGCTGTGGGAGGCCTGCCCCAAGTGCACAGGGAGAGGAGGTTTAGGAAAGGATGCTGATTCGCTCCAGGTAGGGCCTGTGGACCTGGTCTAGGCTCAGGGGACCTGGGGGTGTGACCACCTATAGCTGATGGGATGAGGTGGTGGTGAGCCAGCCCAGATCTACCCACTTCCTGAAAAAGAGGGCCAGACAGAAGGCTGTCCCCTCTGGCTTCCCCATCCCCCCTCCTAGAAACTGACCAGAGGGGAGAGGGAATGGGCCACATCCCTTTGTCCTCTGATCCTCTCCACTGACACCCTGAGGGCCTCCTCTCATTGTTTTCTGCCAGAGGGATTTGATGTGTGCTGTCC